GCAATAATGAAAATATCCTGGGTTATCAACATTGTTTTCCTCACAAATCCAAAACATGGCCGCATACTTGCTGCTATGAAGAAAATTAATTCTATCCCAGCTATAACAAGCACAGGGATCCTTTTGCTTTATTACAGTTTGAGGAAAACTTTTGGCTGAGTGCAAATTTTTACCTATAATTTCTCTTGAGTTCTGGTAAATCTCTCTCCTGCTGGCTGTCAATGGGCTGATGGGATGGCAGTGTGTGCTCCAGAGTTTAAAAATGTCCTCAAAAAGTCATCTTCCTACACTTTAATTATAGAGACTCTAAAGCTTTGTAAAATTTGAAATAGCAAATTATCCTAGGCTTGTGGAATCTTCTGAGCTCTAAATACTGAGTTAAATAATCATCACCATGAGATAATTAAGTAATCACTCAGCTGGATTTATTAAATGATGCTATTTCAAAACCTAATCACAAAGTTAATTTCTGTAAATTACAGTGAAACTCAAAAATGACGATGGTCAGCAAAAGACACAGGTGGATCCCTAAGATTTTTCTTGCTTGGTGTTACTGGTAGGTGCTGAAATTTTCATTCCAAAGCCTAACAATATTAAAAATGAATACACTATAGGGAATGAATGCATAAGCTTTCTCTCCCTGTTACTTTTAAGTATTGAAGCTCATGACTGAAGTCTCTTGAAATAGGAGCATGTTGAGGTGGCCTAGCTATTGACAATCTATAAGAAGCAGGAAAATCAGGTACAAGTGAGGTACTGGCCTCATCAAAATATGGGTAAATTGCATTTGCTCAGGTTTAGCCTTGTTTGCACATACCTGATAACAGCTTGTACAAATCCCTAATATAAATCCAAATGCTTTCAGTTCTCATCTGATTTTCACTGATATGAGCACAGGGGAAGCATTTTAGCTTTCAGAGGAAGGTCTGTAAGTGCAGGGACAGGCAGAGAGCAAGAATTAACACTGGCAGTATAAGTCGCCCCAGACTGGTCAGGGTGGTCCCAGCACATTATTTGCTAAATCTACATCTCAGGGTAGAGGGGTGTGGTCATAGGGATATTTTTCTTCTGCAACACTTTCTTCTCATCTCTACCTCTTGCCATCTCCCCAAGATTGGTGGAGTTTGTGGGCACCAACCCTAGGGTTAGGTGGTATCTACACAACACAGGGGAGGGGGGATTTCCCTTAAGTAAAGACTCGATAAAGGTAGGTAGTAAATCTCCTGTGATAGGTGATTTCAGGAGGGCAGAAATTCAGTGTTGGTTCGTTTGGTCTGGCCTTGGTGAGGAGAGAATTCTGTGCTGTGTCATTGGACCAAGCATGGTGAGGTTGGTCTGCACGTGTGTGAGCCTGGTACTCTCCAAGTGTGGGCATGCTGAGCACGTGCTACCCAACCTTCTTCTGAAGAACCCTGGGGAGTTCTTCTGGCTCCTGGGATAGAGATCTTGCTGGGGGTTGGCTGCTGCCAAATTATTTATTCAGTCTGCTGCTCTCTCTGGGGAAAGCCTTAGGGAACGGAAGAGCTACAGGTGAACTGCAGGACATACTGTCACAGGAACGATATTGTTACATATCCTCACATCCTAAAGATCTCACAGCCTCAGAGTTCAACTGCATCCCAAGCTGTTTACCTTCTCAAGAAGTTATCCCAGAGTGGGGAGAGCTTTGGGCTCCTTTGGTCTCATCTTGGTGTGACTGTGGCAGTGCCCTGGTTACACGTGGTGGGATCCCTGTAACAGCTGCAGTGCCTCCAGGCAGGGCCTTTGACTGTTCTGGGATTCAGGCATCAGCAGCAGAAGTAACAGACAACTCCTCTCTTCTAACAAGTTATTTCTGTTAGGTATGGCTGGTAGCAGATCTGGGAGTCTTGGCTCAGTGAACAGGTCCTGTTCTATCTCCATGCAAGGAGTTTTTCCTCCATATGCTGCACCATCTCTCTCAGCTCGTCTTACCCTCTTGCCTTTGGGGAGATGGGCCCTAGGATGGAAGTAGTTTCCACATCCTTCTCATAAGGGTGTTTAAGTAATATGAGTGGTGGAGGTAGATTTTATTTCTTTCTGGGTTGGCTCGTTGGTTTTGCCTGTTTTCCTCTCTTCTGAGCCTGTAACTCAGGAGCAGTTGAGAACTTTAGCTTTGACTAATGTTTTGCAAACAGTTGCAATGGGTTTGGATCTTGCTGGGTCAACTGCTGATAACCTGATTGCCTTTAATTGTGCAAACATACCCTCAGATATTTCAAAATGAGGGCACCTGGGTGCTGAAGGAATGGAAAGGAATGTGTGTATAAGTATGTATATACATATATGTGTATAATTCCACAGTTACAATTTCTTCAACTAACAAACCTTATTTAGGCACTGAAATACTTGAATCTCTATAAAGATTTGTCTTTCATGTCTCTGCAAAGGGGAATACTTGGGGAAGTTGTAAATTATTGCAATTGTCAGCCTGTCTCTATCTTTGCTCTCTAACGCTACAGAAGATAAGTGTACCAGCTTTGCTATTCAGAGCATTTCCCTTAGCAGCTGAATCCTGTGGGAGAGTCCTCTTAGAGCAGCTTTGCTCTGCGATGGACTCTCCTGACAAGATCACAGACAGCTTTTGGTCTCTGAGTGTCATGATGAACATCTAGTTGGGTCTATTTTTACATCTGAAAGATGCTATGGTGAGAAGAAGCAGTACAGTAAGATTTGGAAGCAGTCTATACATGGTAATGCTTTTGGGGACACTATGCATTTTCCTTCCAGTTCCTGAAATTTTTTATGTCTGTAAAACTTGAATTAGCATCAAGAAAATAGTCATGACTATACAATATTTTGATTTTCTCTTTGTGCAGCAAGACTGAAGTTCTGTGCTTTATAGCTGCTCTGATATGTCCTTTTCAGCTTCAAAGTTTTCCAATAAAATAAATTCATTTATTACTGGAGTTACTGCTACTCTAAAACATTAATTGAGAAGAAAAATAATGATATATCTGAAGTTATTTTCCCTTATTGACATACTATTCTTCACCCTTTTATTCTGCCCTGAGTATTGGTACGATGTCAGAACAGGATTTCAGGGCATGAGAGAGAAAATATTTTGACCTGAGAAGGTGGTTGGAGAAGCGGTTGAAAAAGTGGCAGAAGCCTCAGCTGCTTTAACTACTGTTTATGGTGGGAATTGGGCAACTGGCAGTTTTGACCAGATTATCCCTGGATTTAGTATGTCTGTCACTTCACTGAGATTACAGACGCTGGGTTTTGTTGTGAACTGTTCTGCCTGTGGTGTGTAATCGGGATCCTGGCTGGCAGGCCTTAGTCAGACCTGCCACCCTTGCTGGTTTGGGAGGTGGTGGGTACCTGCTCAGCACACAGATGCTGAGGTGTCCCCATCATCTCCCTGCGTTGCCACACTCTCTCAGCCACCACCTTGCTGCATCTTTATGGCCTGTGGGGCTGGGTGCTGTGGATGACATCTTAGCGCTTGCAAAATGGACCAAGCTTGCCTTGCTTGGGAGCAGAGCTGCTCTTTGCTCGTGTTTTGGAAAAAAAAGGGGTGGGATGTTCCTTGTTTAGCTCCTGGAGACAGCCAGTCCTTAGAAGATGACTGCTGGTTAAGAGCTGTGATAATGAGGCAGAATGGTGATGTGATCTATTAATTTTTCTTTTTATGTTGTTTTCTTCCACATTTCAGGAGGGGTGCTTGTGGCCTTCAGAAAGCTCGGTTTCACGCCAGGGTGCTTCAGAGGTACTGACAGATTTCTGACTATCTTCACCAAGTGCTTTCTTTTTTTTCTTTTCCTGTAATGTATATTTGGTTCCTTTCAAAAACATGCATCTATTTTTTGTAAAAAAAAGCTTTTTCAATGTAGTTCACACCGTTATCTAAGCCTGTCTTAACACGCATTTCATAAATTCTTGAGACCTTTTCATAAAAGAATGAAATTCTGCCTACCTGACACCTCATCTCTATCAGCAGCTCCCTGTTATAGTAGGCATTCACAAGTAAGTGGTGGAGGTGTGTCTCTTTACTGCAGTAATTTGAGTGTTCATTGGAAGCTGGGAGACCAGTTCTTCTTGTCCCTGAACTTTTCTTGGATTTACAACACATATCCTATTACCAGTGTCTCCCATCTTCCAGCTAGCACAGATCCCTTGTCTGTGTAATAATTTGTGGGTGTATTGCTCTGAGTGGTCCAGCTGTCCCCTGACAAGCAGCAGAACTTCCTGGTGATTGGCCCTGCATCTGTGAAGGTCAGGGGTTGAAGACCCTTCAGGGATCCAAAAAAGAGAAGAGCAGTTTGATAGATCTAGATCTGAGAAGCTGCTGTGACTGTGTAGATCTGGGATAGACCAAGTGAGGAGCAATAGCATCTCACAGAGTATCTTGAATGCTTCCTTTTTTAAAAGCCTGTCCTTCTCCAGGTTTTAAAATACTAGGGACATATTTTCCATCACAATGCAGAAGCTTTGTAGGCTCTCCGCAGAGGCTGAGTTCTGGCTGAGAACTGAGGGGGAGGAGGACACCTGATACGCTGATAGTGAAGGCGTGAGATATGCCAAGCCTTTACAGATTGTACTAAAATGACCATCTGAATTCTTTGGGGATGCATTAACTCTGAGTAGGAGGGGGAAGCTCAGACTGCAGCTGAAATTCAGTATTGGGACATTGTTGTAGAACTAGTCAGTTACCGAGATGAGAGAGAATTCATTTCCTGGTTTCAGAATCACAATCATTTGCTTTTGCTCAGAATGTTTTAATGTTAGAAGGAGCTGTGTGGGGCCTGGGGCTTCCTTTGTGCAGCTGTTCTCAAGTGTGCTGGATCCTTCCTGCACCTCCTACCTCTTCACCTGCAGCTGCATGTGGCTGCGCCTGTGCAGGGTATCTGCTGGGCTTAACCTCTGAGGCAGGTGGCAAAAAGAAGAGCTCTGTGTTTTATCAGTTCGTTGTAAAGATTGGAGCACCCGCAGCGCTTTGCGCAGACGTGGAGTCACCCGTGTCTCTCTTCCCGTTTCAGATCATGTACGCCCCAAGGTCCAGGGACAGGTTTACCACCCCATCCTTTATGCAGCGGGACCGTTTCAGTCGCTTCCAGCCCACTTACCCTTACATGCAGCATGAGATCGACCTTCCTCCGACCATCTCCCTCTCCGACGGCGAGGAGCCACCGCCGTACCAGGGCCCGTGCACCCTGCAGCTCCGGGACCCCGAGCAGCAGATGGAGCTCAACCGGGAATCCGTCAGGGCGCCGCCCAACCGAACCATTTTTGATAGCGACTTGATAGACATCTCGATGTACAATGGGGGCCCCTGCCCACCCAGCAGCAATTCGGGCATAAGTGCAACCAACTATAGCAGTAATGGAAGGATGGAAGGACCGCCCCCGACGTACAGCGAGGTCATGGGGCACTACCCAGGCTCCTCTTTTTTCCACCACCAGCACAGCAACATGCCTCCTTCCTCGCAGAGGGGGAGCAGACTTCACTTTCAGCAGAACAATTCAGAGAGCACAATAGTTCCCAGCAAAGGCCAGGACCGCAAACCGGGAAACCTGGTCTAAGTTACCCGCCCAGGTGCGTTTGGACTGAAGACGGGAGATGCAAGCAGGGCGGCGGAGGAAGACCCCCGTGCTCCGGTGCACAGTGTTGTTACGTTTAACGTGGTACAACTGAGTAAAACCAAACGTGCAAACCAGTTCTTTGTTTCTGATTCCTTTCAGGGGAATTGCATGCAAAGCAGATTGAAAGAAATACAAACTTCCATTCGGTTTGTCTATGAGCAGTGTTTCAGGGGAGATGGGGGGGGATATATTATTTTTTTTTTAATAAACTATTTCAATTATTTAATTCTAAAAGTTAACTTAGCACAGAAATGAGGCTTGTACAGCCTGTTTTATACTCACTGAATGGCAGAAGGAAGAAGGTGGTTTTGCTAGATAAATGGGGGAAGAATTGGCCAGTTTGCTTTTTTTTTTCTCCCAGGGTGTGAATTTTTTTTTAATATGAAACAAAATTCCTGTTCTGTGTGCCAAGGTATAAAGTTGAGAACTTAGATGAATGCAAGGAATTGATTTGTGTTGTGATAAATGTGTTTTAAAAAGTTGCACTATCTTACTGTTTTAAAAAAAAATATATATATGAGGGAACTGTTTTATGTGAAGTTCTTCTATATGTTGTCGTTTCACCTGTGGAATAATGATAGAGCCCTAGGAGTAATCTGGAGGAGTTTGCCCCCTCCCCCTGGGTTTGCTAGAAGATGGGCACAGGACTTAGCCTAACATCTCTTGACTTTCACAGTTTAAAAAATACAGGGACGCTTGTCTTTGCAATAATTTGCATTTGAATAACAGTGTATCAGTGAAGTGTCTTGGAGACTTTTGGATGGAAGAAGGCAAATATGGAGTCCCAGCATTTTCCATCACTTAAGGTTTAGCTATTTTACAGTGTAGACTATTTCTTTCATAAATGGCAAAAACTACAATTCCCAGATGTGTTGATTTGTCTTGATTTTAAGTGCTGCCATTCTTTTCCTTTCCATAATGCAGTATCACCAGTACTTAACGTTCTAGAAATTTTTGTCCTCACTGTAGCCTGAAATGTATTTAGTCACATATCATGACATTATGCAATAAATGGTTTGAAAATGCAGGGCGGGATTTTTTTTCCCCTGCACCGCTGTTCAAGTACGTGAGACTGTTGTGGTTTTCGCTCTCCATTTCGTCCTTTCAGATGCTGAAGTTCAGTCCTGGAGGTCCGTCCTGTTGAAGTGAAGGAGGCCCTTGTGGCTAAACCCACCCCCTGTGGTGTTTCTGCAGCAGTACCGAGAGCGCTCGTGGCCGTGGTGCCGGCTCCTGCCGCATCCCTGGCAGGGACGTGGGAGCACCAGGGATTCTCCCTGCAAACCCTTCTGCTCTGGGCCCTGCTGCGGAAACCCTTCTGGGTGCGTGATGTCTGCGTGACGCCAGCAGGACTGTGCTCGTGGCTAAAGGTGGCTCACGTGTTAACCAAGTGTCTGTAAGCCCTGATTTTTGCTATACTGGCCTGGAGAGTATTTGGAAAGTGTTACCTGCCTGTGTCGTGGCACGTGGGGTGTTTCTGCACTGGCTGTTCCCGTGTGGAAGCACGCGTGACGCCGGAACTCAGTTGACAAAAGGTGATAGTGACATCACAAGCACATGAAAAAGCACAAATTGCACTTAAAATGCATTTTGGAAATGGACTTAAAAGTAAGAATCTTTAGCATCTTAGCTTGAATAGTTTCTAATATATAGGTGTATGAGTGTGTCATAGACCTTTTCACTTAAAGATCTTTCACTTTGTTTTCCTGAGCCTTGTGCTTGGTTGCAGGCAGCAGCTGCTGAGTGCCCCAAGGGCACCGATGCCCTGGTCCCATGGCTGGAGGCTGGATTTCTGCAGGACTTCTGTACACAGGCGGGGGGCTCTGATGACTGAAGTGCATCTTTGATCTATGCAGAGTTTTAATGCCAAAACTGTGTGTGTGTGTGTCTGCGTGCGTGCCTCTTGGCCCTCAGTGTAGATTTGTTTTCTTCATAAGGTAATTTGATTTTATTCTAGTTTAGAAAACATTTGTGTAACTGTTAGTCTGAATACACAGCCCCATTTGTCTCTGTAATTGTTATTTTGGTTTGAGTCATGCTGGTAATGCAGAGTAAAGCTGCCTTTTTTATCATATGTATTAATTGAAGGGAGAGATGAGATTGTATGGTGGGATTCACTTATTTTTTTCCTCTCAGACCCGCGGGACAGGTGTTTAGAAGATGACTAGGTGGCTTTCAGTCAGCTGGGGCTCTCATCACTTCTGGTTCCTGGGAATAAAAGCTGTGAAATTAGATTTTTACAAACAACCTATGAACGTAATTCTTAGTTAAAAACAACAAACAAGCAAAACCCAACCAGAGGACAAAGCCAGCAAATGTTTGTTTTGGTCTTCAGTGACTTTTGTCACTTGAGGAGCGAGCCTTTAAGCCAGAGAATGCGTGTGCCTACACAGATACTGTGCTGTTGCCTAAATGAGGATTGTTTAGCCGAGAAGCCTTTAGGTTAGAACAGCTGGAACTCAGTTGTCATGGCAGAGCACACCTGGACTGGGCCCTGGGCTTGGGCTGGTTGAAGATCAACTTTCCCCATGTGTGGATCTCAGCAAAGTGAGCCTTGAAGTTGCCTTCAAAGTCACCTCTTGGGAACGTACTTTTTTTAAAAACAGGTCCTTGCTATCTTTTGCCCTCTCTGCATGCCAGTGGATTTATGCACTTCCCATTAACATTGTCCAGTACACTCTCTTAATTTTTCTTGGCTGAGAACAATTTTCTGCATGGAAAGTATAGCCTTTTCAAGTTCTTTAGAAAAGATTTGTTTAAAAATAACTTGGTATTTGTTCACCTAATAGCTGCATCTCCTCTTGCATCTTTGTCTTCTCATCCTAGAATCAGAGGCTATGGCTGAGCTGGAAGGGACCCATGAGGATCACTGAATCCAGCTCTTGGCCCTGCACAGGACAGCCCCAAGAGTCACACCATGTGCCTGAGAGCATTGTCCAAATGCTTCTTGAACTCTGTCAGGCTGGTGCTGTGACCACTTCCCTGGGGAGCCTGTTCCAGTGGCTGACCACCCTCTGAGGGAGGAATCTTTTCCTAATGCCCAGCCCCAACCTCCCCTGGCACAGCTTCCAGCCATTTCCTTGGGTCCTGTTACAGGTCAACAGAGTGAGGAGACCAGTGCCCTGTCCCTCCTCTTTCCACCACAGAGAAGTTGTAACTGCACTGAGGTCTCCCCTCAGTCTCCTCCAGGCTAGACAAAGTCACCTCAGCCACTCTTCATGGCTTCCCTTGGGACCTTTCATCATCCTCATGGCCCTCCTTTGGACACTCTCTAATGGCTTAATGTCATGCTCTGCTTTCCCAAATGCAATGTGCTGACAGTACCTCTCAGCTCTGGGAGTGCAGTGACTAGTTTACTTACTACAGGGGAGCTTGCAGTCTTCTCTTTTGGGGCCTCTTTTAGCAGTAAATAGGCTATTTTCTGATGGATATTAGTGCTCTCCAGTGGGAAGGCACTCAGTGTAACATTCAAACACTTTTTTTTCTATTTTTTTCTTCTGTTGACATGGTAGAGAATCTGCTCTTGATAACAGAACAGAATGGCAAAAGAAATACCAGAATTAGATAGCACTATCAGTCTTTACAGGCTTAGAAATTGGTGAGCTCTGAAGATAGGTAATTCTATGAAGCATTTATGGAAGACAAGCTTTGAAAATATCCAGAATTGATAGACTGTATTCCAGAGCCACTCAGTGAAACTGTGTATAAATGATAAAAGATTTATGCAAGCATTGTAGCATTAATTGTGTAGATTTTGCCTCCATACTGATGTTCTGGTTTGTGTGTCTCATGCACAAAACCCACATGGTATGTGTGTCGTGTTTTCTATGTGATGGGTCATATTTGCCTGATTTCAGGTTGCATCTTCTGACTTTGCCCAGTAGCTCGTGTTCCCAAAATTCAGTATAGTGATGTCCCTACTTTTGAAATTTTCAGGTTAAAAGATTATTTTTTTCTTTTAAATACACCTTTATGAAATAAAGTTTTGTGACATCTGTCCTACTGCAAAGACTAATTTTTCCCTTATGTGTCTTGGCATGGCTCTTTTCTTGATGCTAAATATGCCCCATCTTTGGTGGTTTTGTATGATCTTTCAGGCCTAGAAAAGGCAGGGGTTTAGCAAAAGGAAAAACCAGTTTCCCTTCCAGTTTCCCAATGGAGCACTTGGCACTTAGCTCTAATTCGGTACCTGTGTCTAGCACAGTTGTGGTTGGGCTCCTCTCAGTGCTGGACATGCAACCTCAGTGTGGTGCTGCTTAAAAGATGTGAGTGAGGGATAGGAAGAGGGGTACCCAGCCAACAGGGCAGTGTTCTGATCCCTTTCCTGGCACATGTAGCATGTGCAGAGTTCATTTTGCATAATAGGATGTTTTCATCAAGGAGGATCTAATTATGCTACTTCTGGTCTTGTAACTGATTAACTCTGCACTTGGGCCAGTCTTGGGCTGATGGGACTTTATTACAGCATGATTTTCCCTTGGAAGTATGAAAACTCAAGAATAGGCCCCATGTACAAGTTCCTGATGGCTAGTGAGGAGGATGTTTGCATTCCTGCCCTCGTGGAATCTGCAGGAACTATGGGTTAAGCTCTGCATCATTTGGCTTTTTTTATTACTGCTTGCCCACTTCTTCCATCAGTTTGTCCCAGCTGGAAGCTGCTTCTGTTGCGCCAAATCTCTGAATGTTCTTGTTGCAAATGTGTTTTCTTAAAAAGTGTCATTGAGAGTTTTTTGGGTTTTTTTTTCTGTGAATGGGGTGCAGGGAAGGGTAAGGAGCAGGATTGCATTGTTTGTTAAGGAATGCACTTCTTTGCAATAGAGAAGAAATTCTTGTCCTGCTGAAGAGCCCTGTGTGGAGGCTGTCTGGAACAGTGCTGTCTGAGGCAGTCGTTTCTAACCCTGCCAGGTAGTGAGATACTGGACCTTAGAACTGACATTCTAATCTATAAGGAATGTTTGAATGCTTTGGGGAAGATTGATTGCTAACCTTTCTCTGACTTTATCCCTGAATGCTCATGATAGCTGAGCTGATTTCTTAGGCGAAGAGAAACAAAATAGTAAATTGGTGAAAATAGATATACATCCTTTTTTTTTTTCCCCTCCCCCCCCCCCCCCCC